AAAAAAAAAAAAAAAAAAAAAAAAAGTTTAATTGTATCTTCCTTTTCATTATCTTCGTGTTAGCGTGTGTTTGGGAATGAGCAATATCATCGTAATAGGTATTATTTGCCATCGTTTCAATTTTTAGAGTGTGATATATCCACTTCTATTATTGTTGCAGCTACCGCCAATATCAATTGGAAATGGCGTATTGGACTTGGTGGTTATTGGTTGCGGTCCAGCTGGTCTTGCTCTGGCTGCGGAATCGGCTGCTTTGGGATTAAAAGTTGGACTCATTGGTCCTGACCTGCCTTTTACAAATAACTATGGCGTCTGGGAAGATGAATTTAAAGGTATGTTGATGCATGCTGCTCATTGTTTTGGCATGTTTCTGACTGCTCTCAACTTTGTTCAGTCTTAAGTGGGCTCATAGTTCTGTCATCGTCTATGCTCCATAAAACATACTCTATTTCCTTAAACTCAAAAACTATCAGTTTTATAAGAGAGTGTAGAACTTGATAAATCTATTCTCCTACGTGTTTTTAAGATAGAATTTTATGTAGTTTCTAAGATAAAATCTTATCTATTTTTCTATTTAAAATGGATTATCATTTCTTGTTCTCTCTTTTATTCTTCATCTAGATTGAATGTGTGAGTTGTTTGATCCTAAAGTTATATCAAATCAAACCACAATGTCCTAGATATGAGCTATAAGTATTAACGAAGTAGAAAATGATAAGGGAGTGATTTGAGCTATTTGTTTTAATATTAGCATTAAAATCTTAAGCTGATATGTAACTGTATTTAAATCTTGTATTCTATAGAAGGAAATGACACAAATTAGTTTATGCTGTGTTTTTTTTTCCCTGAAGCGACAAGATTCTTTACCAACTCCAACATCCACTTTCATCTAAACTCTATTCTTTTCAACATTACAGATCTTGGACTTGAAGAGTGTATAGAGCATGTATGGCCGGATACAGTCATATATCTTGATGACAAGGATCCTGTTCTTATTGGTCGTGCATATGGACGTGTTAGCAGGCATTTGCTCCACGAGGAGCTGCTTAAAAAGTAAGCATGAATTTTTGGTACGATGACTAATTCATACATTTGAATTTATATAAGTTATTAATTTCTGTAGGTGTATCAAGTCGGGTGTTTCTTATCTCAACTCCAGAGTGGACAGCATTGTTGAAACTACCTCTGGCCATAGCCTTCTTGCCTGTGAACACGATATTTTTGTCCCATGCAGGTAAAATGGAATTCTTTTATTTACATGGGATGAGCCTCATTATGAAGTATTTTAAGTCGCTTATATTAACTATTTTTCCTTTTTTCAAATATTTAAAATTGTATTCTAGACTCGCAACAGTTGCATCAGGAGCAGCTTCAGGTAAACTGCTGCAGTATGAGGTGGGCGGCCCAAAGGTGTCTGTCCAAACTGCTTATGGTGTAGAGGTTGAGGTAGGAAGGAGAGTTCCTCTGTTTTTTCTTCTTTTCTTTCTTCGCACAGACGACTTATTTAAGATCTAAAAAAGTCGTTAAAGTCCATTGGTACGAAGCCTTTTGGAAAAACAAAAATGGAAGCCATGAGAGTTGTTGTCATATTTGACCCTTAATTATAGGCTAATATATTGTATTGTCGAGAATATTCAGCCTTTCATTACGGTTTACCATATGCATCATATTTGACCTGATTGTACACTAGTATCTTGTATTCGTTTATTGCTCTCTCAATTTCTTTTGTAATCTATTTGATATTTAGCCTTCCGTAAAACTCTCACCACCCTTTAGATGTGGTTGTTCTCAAGAGCATGAGCTTAAAGTGGACAATATCATACTAATGTGGAGGGTTTGTTGTTCCTTCTATGGTGTCAGAGTCATGCCCCTATCTTAACTTAACCATGTCAATAGAATCCTCAAGTGTCAAACAAAAAAAATGTGAATCGCGAAGGTGTAGTCATAGTGACTCAGATGTCGAACAAAAGGTGTAATTTGTTCGAGGACTCCAGAGAAGGAGTTGAGCCTCAATTAAGAGGAAGCTGTTTGAGGGCCCCAAACAAGGAGGCCTCTGGGAGACTCTATGGTATACTTTATTCGAGGAAAAGATTGGAGTATTGGTATATAAGTGAGGACATTATCTCCATTAGTATGAGACCTTTTGGGAAAATAAAAAAAAAGTTGCGAAAGCTTGGGCTCAAAATAGACATATCATATCAATGCAGAGATCCATGATTCCTAACCCAATATAATTCGTTACTCAAGACATCAAGACATCTTTTAAGAATATGTACCATATAAAATATACTGTAACTTGTTAGTTCAAGTGTTTAAGTTTATTGGTGATTTACCATGGTATTAAAACAAGATTTCGTGAGATCACACTCTTGCATGGTGCTTTTTTCTCTTATTCATAGTAAAAATTCTGGTAGTCATTATCAAGTTGTTTTTATTCAACCCCAATTTAGAATTACACTTTAGTTGTACCAAACCATTGTTTGTAATTCCCGATATTGCTCTCCAGTGCTATTTCCTCAACGAACTAATGCTTTGTTCTAACATGGAATTTTGTTCTGTGTTGATAACCATCGTGTTCATCTATATGATCCTTTCAGGTGGAAAACAATCCTTATGATCCACGTCTTATGGTTTTTATGGACTACAGGGACTACTCAAAGCAAGAAACCTCATCTATGGAAGAACAATATCCTACATTTCTTTATGCCATGCCCATGACTCCGACAAAAGTTTTCTTTGAGGTCTGCACCGATTTTATTAATCTATCTTCGTATTATATTTATTTTCTCAAAATTATATAGAGATTACACTTGGAAATTGAAAATTTGCAGGAAACTTGTTTAGCTTCAAAAGAAGCTATGCCATTTGATCTTTTAAAGAAAAAACTTATGTCAAGATTAAAGACTATGGGGATCCGAATTGTGAAAACATATGAAGAGGTACTCTTTTTTAACGATGTTTATTGCCTTTATAGCATGTTATTACTATTTGTTCGATCCCTCCTCATCTCTTTCAGAACTGTGACATGGGTGTTCGCGTGTCCGTCTGTTTTTTCCCCTCCTTTCTTTCTTCCAATTAATAGCGAGTCAACTAAGTAGTATGATGAGGATTATTGGGAGGAGTCCCGCCTTGGCTCATTAAGAGGAAGATCATAGGTTTATAAGTAAGGAACACTATCTCCATTAGTATGAGGCCTTTTGGAGAAACCAAAAGCAAAATCATCCGAGTTTATGCTCACAGTGGACAATATCATATAATTGTGAAGGTCCGTGATTCCTAACCACCCTTAACTTAGTCATGTCAATAATATCCTCAAGTGTCGAACAAAGAGTGTTGTAAGCCTTGAAGGTGTAGTCAAAAGTGACTCAAGTGTCGAATAAAGAGTATACTTTGTTCGAGGACTCCAGAGAAAGGAGTCGAGTCTCAATTAAGGAGAGGCTGTTCGAGGGCTCCATAGGCCTCAAGGGAGGCTCTATGGTGTACTTTGTTCGAGGGGAGAATTGTTGAGAATGGCGGGGAGAGAGTCCCAAGATCATAATTTATAAGTAAGGAACACTATTTCCATTGGTATGAGATTTTTTGGGGAAACCAAAAGCAAAGGCACGAGAGCTTATGCTCAAAGTGGACAAAATCCGTTGCTAAAAAATCTGATTTCTTCAGAATTATGCATGGCATGAAACTCTCCTTTTTCATTAAATCCCAACACTTAGTTGCCTATCTCATATGCCATCAGTTCTATTCTTGCATTTCATATCATCAAATTTTGTACACCTGGTTTCTTGTCAGTTCTTATATAAACAAGTAAAAGAATGAAAAGGACACAACCTTCCATGTAGGAATGGTCTTATATTCCAGTTGGTGGATCCTTGCCAAACACAGAGCAGAAAAACCTCGCATTTGGTGCAGCTGCCAGCATGGTGCATCCAGCCACAGGTATCAAAACGCAAGCTAAACATCTATCTTGATCAATTATCAATATAAGAAATCTTATGCACTTCATTATTCATCAAGCAGGCTATTCAGTTGTTAGATCTCTGTCTGAGGCTCCAAAATATGCTTCTGTCATTGCAAGAGTTTTGGAGCGAGGACAGCTAAAAGATGGCCTTGCTAATGGAAGAACCTATGGGAATATCTCAATGCAGGGTGAGCCAGTTTTGTGTTTAGATCTATTTAAAGGAGTCTATTTTACTCTGTGCATACACCTTGTAAGTAATTTTCAATGCTTATTAATTTATCTTCTGTTCCAGCTTGGAACACTCTTTGGCCACAAGAAAGGAAGCGCCAGAGAGCTTTTTTCCTCTTTGGGCTTGCACTGATTGTTCAATTGGATATCGAGGGTATTCGAACATTTTTCCGCACCTTCTTCCAATTGCCAGATTGGTACGATCAATTTCCTCCTAAGATGATGATATCAAAATTGACTTCTGTAGTCTGATATTCTGGCGAATATACTTGTTGTGTTGAGGAGTCTTTTGAGCGTAGTTTCCTGTCTACTATTGTAATGACCCTAGCCCACTGTTAGCAGATATTGTCCTCTTTAGGTTTTCCCTTTCGGGCTTCCTCTCAAGATTTTTTAAAACGCGTCTGCTAGGGAGAGGTTTCTACACTCTTATAAAGGGTGTTTTGTTCTTCTCCCTAACTGATATGGGATCTCACGACTATCTTAGTAGGAGGGATTATTTTAATAATCTCCATCATCGATCAACTGAATGTGAGGTTGTATACTCATTATTTTTTTTATAACTTGCAGGATGTGGCAGGGATTTCTTGGGTCTACTTTATCTTCAGCAGACCTTGCACTTTTTGCGTTGTATATGTTCGTCCTAGCTCCAAATGATCTAAGAATGTGCCTCGTTAAACATCTTCTTTCTGATCCTACTGGAGCAACCATGATAAGAACATATCTCACAGTTTCTTGAATTTTCTCCTAAGATCTTGTTCCTGTATTGTAAGAACAATGTTTAGATTACACGAGAAGCCTGTCAGGTATTTTCTTTCCTTCTTTCTTTATATGTTTCTTACTGGAGTTTGTTATATGTAGTGTACATATTCAATATTCTTTTCCATTTCTATGCTCTCATCAAATTTTACTCTTATTGAGTGTTGTTAAGGCTATGAATTCTATCTATGCCATAGACTTGGCTAATCCCATGGTTTGGACAATCTAACCTTGTTAGGCTCATGAATCTATTGAACTACTTCACTCCCATTCTAGGGATGTAAGTTGTTGATTAGGTTTCCTTCAGGTTCTCAGTGCACTTAGTCACTTGATCACTAGTCTCTTTGGTTCATTCAAGTCAATACCCAATTGATGTATGAGTCAGGAGTGCTTTCATCAAAACTCGAATTGTAAGGTAGATTTAATTGGTACGGATCAACGTCTCCCCATTAGCAACCTCACTATTTTGGTATATAGTCTTAATAATGTTTTTTTCCCATTTGAGGAAAAAAAAAACTTCATTTGAATTTGTTTGGATTATTAGGGATAAATTGGCAAAGTTGATGGAATAATAAAATTTTAAAAGTTTAAATATATGGTTTATGATTTAAGAATTAGATATTTATGAGATAAAATATGTATTTTTATTGATTTTAGTCGATAAACTGACTCACAGTTGTATTTCATATTTTTAAGTGATATTAATGGGTGTCGACATATATATAAAAAGGGTGTGTCGACATATATATAAAAAGGGTGTGTCGACATAATGATGTAATTATAATATTGGTGAAGTACACAATACACTATAAAACAAACTTAAATGGTAATAACAAATTTCATTGAAAATAAAAATTCAAGACGCCGCAGCTACAGCTACAGGAAATCGGTCCGCCCGTGTCAAGGAGACGGATTAAGAAGCATCTTTCTTGCAACTTTCCTTTTTGTGCCAACCATGGACTCCGACGTGACGATGGTTCCGGTCGGCGAGGCTTCGAGCAGTGCCGGTCCTTCGTCTACCAAGAAACCCAAGCGTTTTGAGATCAAAAAGTGGAACGCCGTCGCTCTATGGGCATGGGGTAATTACGGAACCCTAATCTTTAGCCCTTCACACGGCGTTGCTATTACTGCTCTCACTCTCCCGTTTTGCCTTCTTTCATCGGAATCCTCCTCTCTAATTTTTGTGTTATTCATTTCTTAATTCAGATATCGTTGTCGATAACTGTGCGATCTGCAGAAATCATATCATGGATCTTTGTAAGTTTATCATCATTTGATCAAGTTCTAAGATATCTGGAATGATCTTCCTCTTAATTCTCTATATTATTTGTATTTTCTTTAGCCATTCACCCTTGTTTGTTATGTAGGCATCGAGTGCCAAGCAAACCAGGCAAGCGCAACCAGCGAGGAATGTACTGTGGCTTGGGGTACGTTTGTTTTTTTTATAGAAACATTTCCTCTCCCTATCCCCAATCCATTCACGCAGACACAATGTGCTATTATTTTCTACCTCGCTCCTTACGGATACTGAGGTGGATGATTGGGCCTCTATGCTGAATATTTAAAGCCATGTCATATTTTCTAATTAGGAGGATGTCGAAGTGCGTTCCCTTCATATCAATGGTTGCTTTTCTGTCAATTCCTCAGACCTTTAGCTTGTTTGTTAACACAGCCATACTGACCTAATCCGTAGTAAGCTAACCTGGGAGGCCAAAATTCTGGAAAAGTGAAAGTCTTCCTAGGGATTCTGATACAAGGGAAACTGAGTACGTGTGAGAAGCTTCAATGAAGCGTTCCGAATGGCTGGTGATGTATCCTGTGCAGGAAAGACAAGAGAGCCATTTTCATGTTTTTGTCCACTGCCCATTTTCTGCCGCTATTTGTTGAGCTAAGCATTGTTATGTATTTGGTATGAGTTGATGCTCCCGTAAGACCTCTGAGAATTACTGCCATCCAACTGTTAGGGCATAATCTAAATGGTCAAATTATAATCAGAGACTTTTTAGAGGGTTGATTCTAGCTCGGAAAGCTTTTGGGATCTCAGGAAACTCTATTAAGAACTGAACTTGTTATTTAACTTAAAAAGATTGCCTTTTGGATTGATTGATTATTACTCTATCCAACTTACAGTATGAAACATTATTTTGCAATTGCCCTTGATGTGGAATTATAGCAGGAGCCAACGACTGATGATACCTGGTGTTGAATTTTTATATATTTGTAGGGGTGTGTAATCATGCATTTCATTTCCACTGTATCAGTAGATGGTTGAAGACGCGTCAAGTTTGCCCATTGGGTATGCATTTCACATTCTTGCCTTGCCTTTCAACCACAATGTTTTTCTAAAAAAATGAATTTTGGTAATTGAAGAAAGCTTTGCCATTTTACAGATAATAGCGAGTGGGAATTTCAGAAGTACGGTCACTAGAACTTTGCTGCTGAGAATATGGATCCTTAAATTCTCATGGGTCTCTAATGTTGTCGACGATGAACTCTCTCCATACATGGTTTCTGAAATTTGCGATCTGAAGATGCATTTTGTTGAGCAACTACAATTTTCCAGAGAATTATGTGATTTTATTTGGGAGTTGTTTGTAGAAATAGGCTAGCACTTGAACGTTAGTTCTTGTTTTACCGTTTACCATTTCTGTACTTGTATTTATGTTAACATCTCACTCGGTTCATCTGGAAAATTTGGATCTTATTGTTGCCTATTTGCTCTTCGGTTCTTGTTTGTCTATCGGATATTCTTCTTCCCATAATATAATCGTGTTCTTCACCGAATGAATTCTTCTAAAGTGATCTTACTTTAGAATGATTGTTGGCTGTTCTGAATGAAAAATACCAGTTGGCTGTAACGATGAGAAAATATAACATCATGGATTTGGTTGATATTCAGAACAGGTTAAAATTGTTATTTTGTTTTTCTTCTGAATATATTGCATGATGACTATGTTCTTCTTCTGAATTGTTAACTGGCACTTTTGTGTTGCTATCGAACTGTGCTGAGCTCTCTCAGTTTGTGCAGGCAAGGAGTTTGGGATGCCCATTCTTCTCACTTTGTTGCAGCCGGACGCTCCAGTTTTTGCTGATTGCCCCGCACCTCACACAGTTAACAGTTGCTAAATTCCCAACTGGAAGAATCATTTTGACTCGGCCATCAACTTCCTCAGCAAACACTGTACCTTATTTTACATTCTTGTTGTTGCTCGAAGGTGGTTCCCCGAGAAATTTGGTTAAATGAGTCTGCCAACTGAAGAAGAAAGCTAAAACTAAGGGACTGAGCAGTGGTGTCGGTCTCTGGCTAGCAACACAAGTGGCATGGATTACAGCAGCAGTTTCCAGTACAGCCACAGCAGCATTTGCATTCACAGCATGGGCATTCAGGGCATGAAGGTAATGAAAAATGGTAACATTGGCTACATGAAATGATTGGGCAAGAGCATGAGCATCGGGGTAGTGTTGGACAAGTGCAACACTTCCACTGTGGTAAGTTACAGCAGCTGCATGATAGGCATTTACATGGATTATTACAGCTACAGCAGGGTGGGTTTTCGAGATGGATCGAGCATCCAGCATAGCAGCAACAGCAAATCCACGACAACGTACAGCAGGGGAACCCACTGCATCAAGTGAGAATTAGCCTGATTATTCTTACACCACATCATCATGGAAGAAAAAGTAAGGTGAGAGTTACATACCAGAGCCATTTCCAAAATTGACATCTGCGGCTATGCTTCTTATATCTGATTCAAAGAAGAAACATATAGCATGAATAGACTGCAAAGAATTTTAGAAAATTAATGATGGGGAACCCCTTGCGTTGTTATCAAGGGATCTGATTTGGCGACCACATAGTCAGCTACCCTGCAAAGTGTTCTTGTGCTAGATGAGCAGAAGATCTGGGAAGTAGAAGTTCAAAGTCTTTGGCAAATGAACTGGTGTACGTACTCTTTGCAGCATTGAGATGCAGGTTGAAGACCATCGGTAGACTTCAAGTCTTCCTGCCCCAGAGACATCGTGGAAGAAAAGCTTGTTATATTTTCATAATGAACCGGGGATAAGAGAAAGCAATGCAGGAATGAAACCCAAATGGTTAGATTGAACATCAATGCCAATGGGATTTGTGTTGTGAGCAAAACTCGAATCTCACTGTTACCCCGTTAGGCTGGGGTGGGGTGCTTGTGCTTGGTGATGGAGAAAATTTGTAACCTTGAAGTTAATCTAAGACGAACCTTAGCTTGTTATTACGTCAGAAAGGGATGTACGGAATCTAAAATGTGATTTGGTTTCAATTGCAGTTTCTTTAGGGTTACGAAAGAAAGGGCATTGGCGCATGCATTAGAAGAAAAAGAAAAGGAAAAGGAAAAGCAGAGAGGTAAATGAAAAGAACCTGGAGAAAAGCAATCTCCCTCTGAAGCATCTGAACCTTGGCCGTTTGCCGGCGCTTTCCATACAAATCTGGATACTGAGGAGGCGAGTTGGGGTTGGGGGTGGGAGGGATGGAGAGGAAGGTGGGCGAGTAAGAGTAGTAGCCATTGGGGGGAAATGGAAAAGGAAGCAGAGTGGCAGGGCACAAATGCAGTAAACAAAAGAAGGGACAGAGAATCGTGTGTTTGTGTTGTCAGTTCTGGTTTTGGTACACAAGTACGGTGCAAATTAAGAAAAGAAAGATAGACGCCCTGACAAGGACAGCTTCGACTGAGGCAAAACATAACAAGAACAAGGGTTTGTGCAATCCATGACAAGAACACGAATGCGATTCAGGGGAAAGAAGAGGTGAAAAAGGCAGGCTGCTCTCAAATGGGCTCTCATCCTCACTCCCCAACTCATTTTCTTATCATTAAACAGATTCGGACACCACAAATAAACCCTCTTTCCCACTTTGTTACTCTTACCACTATATTTTCTTCTTCTTCTTCTTCTACTACGACTACAACTACTGCATTGAACTGTTTCCTCAAGCAAGCCGTTGAATTCTGACTTGATCGAAGGAAGAGATTTGGTTTTTATTTAGTGTCAGGCTTGAATGCATATGGACCCAACCTTCAGGTATAGGAGCAAATGTCCTTATAATTTGTACTAAGAATTCATTTGTTTCTAAGGAATTGAGAAAGAAAGGAATCAAACCTCAAAAAGGCACCAAGTATTGAGA